AAAAAACAATTTATAGTACTAAACCTGGAAGAAAAAAATCTGAAACCTTATGAATTTACATTCTAAGCTTTACAGGATAAAGATAAGCAGAGCAGCAGCTGAAATTTGTTTCTTCAGAAGGTAGCAAGAACAGGGTCAGTTCAGAATACCCTCAGGAGTCCTGAAGCCAGCTCTCCCCATTACCTTACTGATGCTTTTATAGCTTTCATTTCTTAAATGTAGAATGTATTTGCAAAGTCATTGCACACTCTATTTGCAGAGAAATAAAGAAAGCTACAGAGTCCCACTGTGACACAGAAACATGAAATGCAATGTCAGCTGGTGAAGCTGACAGGCCTTGCTGGAGCAAGATGACCATAGGCTCTGAAGAGTAGGAATTAAGGCAGGAGGGAAAGGTGGGGACATACTAGAAGGGCCAAGAGGGAGAAAACAGGGACAGGGAAGGGAAGGGAAAGAGAGAGAGGGAGGACTCAGCTGGAAGAGTGTGTGTTCAAATCTAAAATCACAGAAAGCATTAAAGTGTCTTCCTGTAAGACAGGAAGAGAATATACAATCAAGATTTGTTTCTATGCAGGACAAATAACATACAGTGATGTGTTACCAAACCAAGAGATAGAATCCATTTTCTGTTACTCTTTGCTGGGAAAACTTTAGTGGTTTCACATGGCCTATGACTTTAGGGACAAACACTAAAGTGATAAGACACTGAAAGTGTTTCATAATACATCTCCATTCTTCCCAAACACATGAATATCCCTTTACTCCCTACAACTGGATATCTGCTCTAGTCCTACCACCAGTTCAGTTCAGGTCAATTCAGTTGCTCAGTCGTGTCCAACTCTTTGCGACCCCATGGACTGCAGTATGCCAGGCTTCCCTGTACATCACAAACTCCCAGGGTTTACTCAAACTCACATCCATTGAGTTGGTGATGCAATCCAACCATCTCATCCTCTGTTGTCCCCTTCACCTCCCACCTTTAATCTTTCTCAGCATCAGGGTCTTTTCAAATGAGTTAGTTCTTCACATCAGGTGGCCAAAGTATTGGAGTTTCAGTTTCAGCATCAGTCCTTCCAATGAATATTCAGGACTGATTTCCTTTAGGATTGACTGGTTGAATCTCCTTGCAGTCCAAGGGACTCTCTAGAGTCTTCACCAACATCACAGTTCAAAAGCATCAATTCTTTGGTGCTCAGCTTTCTTTATAGTCCAACTCTCACATCCATACATGACTACTNGGTTCATGTACTGTTGAAGCCTGGCTTGGAGAATTTTGAGCATTACTTTACTAGTGTGAGAGATGAGTGCAATTGTGCGGTAGTTTGATCATTCTTTGACATTGTCTTTCCTTGGGATTGGAATGAAAACTGACCTTTTCCAGTCCTGTGGCCACTGCTGAGTTTTCCAAATTTGCCAGCATACTGAGTGCAGTCCTACCATATGATTCCTTTTTACATCCACAGAGAGTCATTTACCACCTTACCTGTGTCCACACTGCTGCCTTTCCTCAGATTATCCTTTTCTTTCTTCATACATATCTCCATGGAAATTCTACTCAACCAACAGGACTCTCCTCACATTCCACCTCCTCCCAAAAGCCTTCCTTAACCACTCCAGCTTCAAGTGACACCCCCATGTTCAGAAGACTGGCTAAACTCAGCCGGGCTCATTCTCTTTCTGAAACAATGTGGGGAATGAATGAAAAGTAAGTAAATTCTTTGCACCATTAATGTCCATTCTTAGTCACTCATTGCCTTGTTCTGATTATTTCATGCATAAATCTTTCTCTTTTCATACAAATTGCAGACTCTAAACAAATAAAAACATAATAGATTTAACATCAGAAAAAAGGACTTTTAATACTGGAAGTCTTCTGCACCTCTCCCTTCAATTGGATGGTATTTCTCTAGTTAAAAAAAAAAAATCAATGGAGAAGAATGTTCTATATGAGAAACTCTTCTGCCTAAGCCTGTTTGTGGAATTCAGATTCTAGCAGATTCTCTGCTTTAAAGAAACATCTTATGCTTCAACTTTTAAGATACAGGAAGCAATTTCTGATAATCAAAGGAGATGTTTATTCTACACTAGCACTCTTCCTAGAAGGTGAGACAACTCCTGGTCTGACAAAAAGATGTACTGTCCACTGAGCCACATAGAGCCAAAACTTGAAGCAGTATCATGTGAGAGCTGTCCCAGTGATGTGACATTGTTTTGTGTCATGTTTTTAAGTGGTGTTTGGAGATCCACATTCTTTCAGACTTAGAGTACCAGAAAAGCCCACTTAGAGAAAACTTATAATAGAAGACATATTTCACTGTGAATTTTATGATTAAACAAGCTTCAAGGGAGATCAAGATGATGGAATAAAAGGACATGGAGCTCTCTTCCTCCCACATGTGCATGTGGGTGCTTAGTCGTGACAGACTCTTTGCAACCCCATGGACTATATATAGCCTACCAGGCTCCTCTGTCCATGGGATTCTACAGGCAAGAATACTAGAGCAGGTTGCCGTTTCCTTCTCCCGGGGATCTTCCCGGCCCAGGGAATCAAACCTACATCTCTTGCATCTCCTGCATTGGCAGGTGGATTCTTTACCACTGAGATACCAGGGAAGCCTCCATACTGTAATATTTACTACTAAAATTAAAAAAATTCATCTATAAATGGACCTGCACAGTTCAAACCCATGTTGTTCAAGGGTCAACTGCATTTTTCATGCTTGTTTTACACAACAAATTAAATGTTTGCTTTCCATTTTGTACTGATAGCAAAAGCATGGATCCTAATTAGTAAGGAGAACAAAGAGGTGGATATTTTGAGCAGAAAGAGATGTTAATGATCTCTAGTCCAACTCTCTTATTTTCCATATGAGGAAAGATGTTCTCTGAGGTTCAGAGCTTTTAATCTATATTTGTAAGGTCTCTAAACATTGTTTTTCTTAAAACTGAATGGAGATTAACAAAAATATGGTGGCCACAAAGTGACTTAGCACTATCTTTCTATAGGTTGGTGTCTCGGTGTAGCCAGAGTTCCACAGGCTGACTCTTGAGCCTCTATAGGAAGCAAGCACTCAGGCCATGTATTTGGTCTGAAGACATTCAATCAAGCAGGATGGATCCTCTGAACTGACCTGTAGTACTCTATAACAGTAGCAATAAAGCCAGTGTGGCTGTAGCAGATCCCTAGCAGACAATTGTCCTTCTTTTGCAATCTTCTTGGCTTCTCCACCATTCTCCTGGGCCCATTCAACTTTCTCTAGTAGATTACCAAGATTTCTTTTAATTGGAATATAATGTTTCTAAGGCTTTAGTGCCATATAGAAATGTTCATAATATGGTGAGTCCTGCTTCAGAACCAAACTGTCACCAAGCATGAGATATGGATATCTATAAGCAGTCACGGTCCCATCCACATTTACTTGATACTTGTGCTTAAAGAATTTAAAAAAAAAAAACCTATCAATTTAGCTTTTCTAAGCTCCTTTTCTTTCTCTTGGAAGAAAAATATCTTGTAATTCCTGCATCTAGTAGGTGTGGAATTTCCTTGGACAGCTACACCAACTGGAGACTTTCCTCTCATGGCATCTCTACCTCTGAAGAAAGCTTTCTCTGTTTTGTTGATCCAGGAAGGTTCTGTATTTCCCTGAATAGAAAGGAGATCATTTGGAACACCCCTAATAGCTTCAAGAGTGGAGTGGGTGATGTCACAGCCTGGAAACCACGCACCACCTCCCGCGGGCCGGGCTGCTAGCCCTGCAGCTCACCCTGCTCATGGCTGCGGGGACCCCCAAGGTGACTTCCTCCCACAGATACATCAAAATATATCTACATGTGGAAGAATATTCACAGGATACCTACTAAATGCTAGCAGGAGATCTCACACAACCACAGCTGCAAGAAAGATCACCATGTACCTGGGTAAAATGAAAGCAAAAAAAGAAATTGGGATGGGCCCTGAGAGGGAGCTGTGAAAGAGGAAAGGGAATTCCCATAAGGCTATTAGCTGATTTCTCAACAGAAATTTGCAGGCCAGAAGAGCAAGGCAAGCTATATTCAAAGTCTTAAAAGGGAAAAACCTGCAACCTAAGATACTTTACTCAGAAAGGTTATCATTTAGAATAGAAGGAGAGGTAAAGAACTATGCAGAAAAGCAAAGACTAGAAGAATACTAAACCTATTCTTCTAAACAGTTTTCCCTAAATAGAAAAGAAGCAAGAATCTTCAGGAAAGAGAAAATCACAATGGGAAATTAAATTACTTGAATAAGTCAGTATACAGATTTTTTAAAAAAATTATTGTGAAAGTAATGATAACCACAATGAACAGAGAAAGGATAAACAAGAAGATGTAAAGAGACACCAAAATCATAAAATGTGGGTAAGGGGGATAAGAAAATGTAGAATTTTTTTAAAGAATGTATTTGAGTCTACAAGGCTATCAGCCTAAAGCAAGCAGATACAGTAATAGGTTAGCATACCTGAAAAACAGGGTAACCACAAATCAGAAACATACAATATTTTTATAAAATACAAAAAGAACTCAAACCAAAAAAAAAAAAATCATCAAACCACAGAAGGAAAAACAAAAGGAATGAAGAACTACAAAATCAACTGGAAAACGAGGCTTAAAATGGCAATAGATATTCACACATAGCTATAATAATTACCTTATATGTCAATGGCCTAAATGCTCCAATCAAAAGACACAGAGTAGCAGACTGGATAATAAAACAAAAGTTTACAATATGCTGCCTACAACATACCCAAAGGAGGCAAAGGACACATATAAATTGAATGTGAGGGGATGGAAAAAAAATTTCAGGCAAATGGAAATGACAGGAAAGTAGGGGTAGCAATATTCATATCAGACAAAATAGACTTTGAAACAAAGGGCATAAAGATAGATAAAGAAGGACATTATATAAAGGTAAAAGGATTAATTAAAGAAGAGAATATTATACTTATTAACATATGTTCACCCAAAAGACATATTCTTTTTTTTTTATAGTTTTAAGTCTTTAATTAGAAAACTCAACAAAAATATATATTTTACATAACTCATACATTCTTAATATCTGCAGGTATGATAAATAACAGAAGGCAAAAGCAGACATACTGTATTGCTTCTCTTTGGCAACTCACCAGTATTACCCTCTGCAGAAACACAGGATATATGTATAAAATAAACAAAACAAATCCCCACCACAGTCGTAATTGTCCCTTAGTACAAACAACAAAATATTTAGCAATAATACAGTAGATGGATTTTTCAAATTGACTAAAATTTATAGTACTTTATTTATACCACAGGGGTTAAAGTAGCAAGCTGCTTTCCAAAATTAAGGCCCGCAGCAAGTTGGGGGGTGGGGTGGGGGACACTCCTTTTTCCTGATTATATCCTATTTTTTAATTTAATAATGTCACATTCAAACTCCACCTCTCAGATGCCACTCCTAACAAAAGCAAAATCCTTCCCTAGACAGAAGCTGTGTTTTACTTGCAGGTCAATTGTCTGACTACCCCCCAACTAAATACACATTTTGTATGGTGCAATTCAGCTTTCTTAAGTTAGTATTTACCATCTAACTCAGTGTTACAGAATAATAAAAAGTTACTTCCACTTTACAGCAAAGATATATATTGTGGCTCTACTGAAGCAACATATACATGCTGAAACTAAGAATTAGAAAAGCAAAAGGGTCCATTCAACACATAGCAGCCTATATCTAAATATATACATGTATGTATATGTTTTCACAGTTAAATTTTAGAAAAAAAATTTACATTTGATATGTTCAGAAATGTTTCTAAGGTCTATAAATAATATTTTAAAAGCTCAACTGATCAAAATGCAATACAAGAATGTATAAAATTAAATAAATCTCCTAAACCTTGAAGTCAGTAAAGCTTGAGGTTTGTGTAAAGTGTGTTCAGTCCCTAATACTAGGGAAGGCAGCATCCTCTAAACACGGTAGGAGAGAAACTCTAAAACTTTGGAAGGAACTGGCAGCTCCTGGACTTCTTGGGTGGGCATCACTCTCCGGATTGACATGCGACATAAATGTTGAAGGCTAGGGACGTGCCTTGGAGTTGCCCAAAAATACACATTTCCATCATGTGTCCCAGCAGCTAAAACACTGCCATCAGTAGAAAAGGCACAGCAAAGACCATTGCTCAAAGGTGCAACTTGCACAGGATAATCCTCATCAATTCTCCAGAACCTCACCATTATGTGCGCCTGTGTGCGAGTGGTGCCAGCATAACCTCAATCACACCAATATTGCTGCCACCACTGCTTTACTGGCTCCCACTGAACACAGCGTAGAGGAGTCAGGAGAGAATGCACAGCTGTACACCCAGTTCTGATGGCCCCGCAATACTTTCATCATGTTTCCATCATCTTTCAGGTCCCACACACTGAGAGTTTTGTCTCTTGAAGCTGACACCAGGATCAAGCTCCCATCTGGAGCAAAAGTTAAATCTCTGACCACTTCAGTATGATCTACCAAGTTAAGGAGGAGTTTTCCTGTATATACATCCCATATTTTGATCCGTCCACTGTTTAACCCTGTGGCAAGGAGTAGCTGATCTTGTCCAAATCTGAATCGATGCCATTCTATATTTACACAGCAACTCTGTTTCTCTGGAACTGACGATCCAAAAGCAAGACTCCAGACTATATCGCCACAGTCTATAATATGCTCACGAGGCTTATTTTTCTGACCACCATCACTGTTTTGTCTTGATAATCTTAAATTACTTGAATTGGTGATATTTTTGATATTTCTCTCCCCATGCAAGAGAAAGTTCTTCAGGCACTGGGACCACAGAACAAGCTTTACTGTGCGATGTCCTTGTGACCAGGCAAAGTACGAACCATCTGGGGCAAAAGCAACAGTCCAGTTTTCACGACCACATTTCTTGTCAAAAGGAGCTGCTGGAGCTAAAAGTTCACCTATAGTCCGTGATCTCACGATCTCTTTCTCATTGACCCTCGGGGGAAAGCTGGCCATCTATGGGATACCGTCTGATTCCGGGGGCGCGATGCGGACGCAACGACAGAGAAGCTAAAGGTGAGCGCCGAGGGGCGAGACGAGGGCTGGGCCCTCCCGGTCCCAGGGACAGAGGGGAGGGGCGGGACGGTCTCGGAGGCTCCTGCCGACAGCCCCGGGAAAGCTCTGGGAGGCCTCTGACCGAACTACGGAGTCAAACACAGACAATAGATGCTGATCCCTTCCTCCTGCCTACGAAGGAAGACACTTCCTTCCACACTGAAGAGAGCAAACGAGACACTGAAGACATATTCAAATACATAAAACAACTACTACAGACATGAAGGGAGAAACTGACAGGAATACAGTAATAGTAGGAGACTTTAACACCTCACCCACATCAAAGGACAGATCTTTCAGATAGAAAATCAATAAACCAACAGAAATCCTATGACACGATAAAACAGACTTAATTGATATTTTCAGGACATTACATTAAAAAAAAAACACAAACCAGAATGCCCATTTCTTACAAGTGCACATGCAACATTCTCTAAGACAGACCACAGACTTGAACAGAAAACAAGCCTCAAAAAACTTAAAAGGCTAGAAATTATTACAAGCCTCTTTCATGACGACAATATGAAACTGGAAATCAACCATGGAAAGAGAAATAAGGAAAAAAAAAAAGATTACATGGAGACTGAACAACATGCTACAAAATAAAAGGGAGGTCAACAATGAAATCAAAGAGGAAATTAAAAAATACACTGAGACAAATGACCAAAAAAACACAACCATACAAATTCTTGGGGATGCAGCAAAAGCAGTCTTATAAAGGAAGTTCACAGTGATACAAGCCTTCCCCTCAAAACAAGGAAATCTCAAATAGACAACCTAACCTGCCACCTAAAATAATTAGATAAAGAACAAATAAACCTAAAGTCAGCAGAAGGAGGAAGGAAATGGCAACCCACTCCAGTATTCTTGCCTGGAAAATCCCATGGACGGAGGAGCCTGGTGGGCTACAGTCCATGGGGTCGCAAAGAATCAGACACGACTGAGTGACTTCACTTTCACTTTCCATCAGAAGGAGGAAATAGAGATTTTTTAAATACAAAAAAATTAATAAAACCAAGATCTGGAAAGGGTAAACAAAACTGACAAACATCTGGCCAGGCTCACCAAAAAGAAAAGAGAGAGAACCCAAATAGACAAAATAAGAAATAGAAGAAATAACAACCGATACTTCGGAAATACAAAAAATCATGGGACTACTGTGAACAATTATATGCCAACCAACTGGACAACCTAGAAGAAATGGACAAGTTTTTAGAAACATACAGCCCACCAAAACTGAATCAAGAAAAAATAGATAATTTGAACAAAGCAATCACTAGAAGTAAAATAGAAACTGTAATTTAAAAAACTCACTACAAACAAAGTCCAATACCAGATAGCTTCATTGGGGAATTCTACCAAACACACAAAGAAGAACTTATACTGATTCTTCTCAAACTCTTCCAAAAGATTGAAGAGGAGGGAATTCCTCCAAGTTTTTTCCATGAAGCCACCATCACCCTGATACCAAAACTAGAAAAAGACACTACCAAAAATTACAGGCTAGTACCTTTGAAGAATACATATGAAAACATTCTCAACAAAATACTAGCAAAATGAATACAACACCACATTAAAAAAAAAAATACACCACAATCAAGTTAGAATAATCCCAAGGTCACAAGGATGGTTCAACATATGCAAATCAATCAAGGTGATATATATACCACATTAACAAAAGCCACATGATCATCTCAATAGATGCAAAAAAAAGCATTTAATAAAATTCAATATCCATTCATGATAAAAATTCTTATCAAAGTTGGTACAGAGGGAACATATCTCAACATAATAAGAGCTATTTATGAAAAACCCACAATCAACATAATACTCAGCAGTGAAAACCTGAAAGCCTTCCCACTAAAATAAGAAACAAGGTAAGGATGCCCACTCTCACTTTTTCTATTCAACATAGTATTGGAAGTCGTAGCCACAGCAATCAAACAAGGGAAGGAAATAAAAGGTATCCAAACTGGAAGAGAAGAGGTAAAATTGTCATTATATGCAAATGACACAATACTATATACAGAGAACCCTGAAGACTCCACACAAAAACTGCTCAAACTGATAAATGAATTCAGCATGGTAACAGGGTATAAGATTAACATACAGAAATCTTTCTAATTTCTTTACACTAACAAATATCAGAAAAGAAAAGGTTTAAAAAATCCCTTTGAAAATTGGATCAAAAAGAATAAAATACTTAGGGATAAATCTGACCTAGGATGTGAAAGACTTACATGTTGAGAACTATAAAACACTGATAAAGGAAACTGAAGCTGATTCAAAGAAATGGAAAGATTACCCCATGCTGTGGATTGGAAGAATCAACATTGCTAAATGGCCATACTAGCCAAAGCAATCTATTGATTTAATGCAATCCCTATCAAATTACCCATGACATTTAAAAAATTTTATTTTTAATTGGAGGCTAATTAATTTACAATGTTGTGGTGGTTTCTGCCATACAACATGAGTCAGCCATAAGTATACATATTTCCCTCTCTCTTGAGCCTCCCTCCCACTCCCCATCCAATCCCCATTCCTCTAGGTTGTCACAGAGTACAGAGCTGGGCTCCCTGTGTTATATAGCACCTTCCCTTCAGCTATCTATTTTACATATGTAATGTATATGTTTCAATGCTACTATCTCAATTCATTCCACTCTCTTCTTCCCCTGTGCATCCACTGGTCTGTTGTCTATGTCTGTGTCTCTATTCCTGCTCTGCATATAGGTTCATCAGCACCATTTTCTAGATTTCAAATATATGCATTAATACATGATATTTGTTTTTCTCTTTCTGACTGACTTCACTCTGTGTAACAGGCTTTGTGTTCATCCATCTCATTAAAACTCACTCAAATTCATTCCTTTTTATGGATGAGTAATATTTCATTATATACATGCACTACAACAATTTTATCGATTCATCTCTCGACAGACATCTAGTTTGCTTCCATGTCCTGGCTATTATAAATACTGCAGCAATACCAAAATGACATTTTTCACAGATCTAGAACAAATAATCCTATAATTTATATGGAACCACAAAAGACAGAATTGGCAAAGCAATCCTGAGGGAAAAGAACAAAGTTGGGAGCATAACCTTCCCACACTTCAGACAATAGCACAAAGCTACAGTCATCAGAACAGCAAGGTATTGGCACAAAAAGAGACACAGGGATAAGTGAAACAGTATAGAGAGCTCAGAAATAAACCCACACACCTAGGTTCAATCTTAGGCAAAGGAGACAAGAATAAACAATGGAGAAAAGCTAGTCTCTTCAACAAATGCTATTGGGAAAGCCATACAGCTGTATGTAAATCAATGAAGTTAGAACACACTTTCACACCATACAGAAAAATAAACTCAAACTGGCTTAACAACTTAAATATAAGACAGGACAACATAAAACTCCTAGAAGAGAATATAGGCAAAAAATTCTTTGACGTAAATTGTACCAATGTATTCCTAGATCAGTATCCCAAGGCAACAGAAGTAATAGTAAAAACAAATAGGACCTAATCAAAATTAAAAGCTTCTGCACAGAAAAGGAAACCATAAACAAAATAAAAAGAAACCTACAGAATGGGAGAAAATATTTGCAAATCATGTGACCTGCCAGGGATTAATTTCCAAATATACAGTTTGTACAACTAAATAACAAAAAACAAACAATCTAGTCAAACACTACAGAAAAACTAAACAGACATTTCTCCAAAGAAAACATATGGATGGCCAACAGGCTCATGAGAAGATCCTCAACATCGCTAATTATCATAGAAATGCAAATGAAACAGTGAGGTATCACCTCACCCAGACCAGAATGGCTATCATTAAAAACTCTACAAATAATAAATGCTGATGAGGGTGTAGAGAAAAGGGTACTCTCCTATGCTGTTGATGAGAATGTAAATTGGTGCAGCCACTATAGTAAGAAAAGTAAGGAGGGTCCTTAAAACACTAAAAATAGAATCAATATATGATCCAGAAATTTCACTCCTGGCCATATATCTAGAAAAAAACTCTAACTGGAAAAGATACATGCATCCCAAAGTTCACAGCAGCATGGTTGACAATAGCCAAGACATGGAAGCATCAACAGAGGAATGGATAAAGATGTGGTACATATATATACAATGGAATATTACTCAGCCATAAAAATGAATGAAAATGCCATTTGCAACAATATGGATAGACCTACAGATTGTTATCCTAAATTAAGTAAGTCAAACGGAGAAAGGGAAATATCACATGATATTCACTTCTATGTGGAATCTAAACAATTATATAAGTGAACTTATATACAAAATAGAAATAAGACTCAGACACAGAAAACAAATTTATGGTTACCAAAGGGGAAAAGGAGTGAGGGAGAAATAAATCAGGAGTTTGAGATTAGCAGATACAAACTACTATATGTAAAATAAACAACAAGGATCCATTTTATTGCACAGGGAACTATATTCAGTATCTTACAATAAACTCTATTGGAAAAGAATATGAAAAAGAATATAAAACCGAACCACTATGCCATCAATCAGAAACTAATACAATATTGTAAATCAACTATTCTTGAATAAAACAATAAAATAAAATCCTCTTCCACTTTCTTTATAATTTGTTCATAATTTTTATTTTATTTTTAATATAAATTTCTTAGACTTAATACTCAATCACAGGTTTTCAAATAGTTACTCAGTCTGATGCTGTCATCTGCATCCAAATGGAGCCACCTCCCATCTCCAGGCAGCCCATAAAATAACAGTGCTAATGTGAGGCAGACACAGGACAAAAATGATTATCCCAAGGGTGCTAGAATTCTTGTGATTCCTTCCCATTTACATCCCTGAAGTGGCAGCAAGAACCATAGGTCGAAAAGTTATTTCCTAATATAGTCATTCTTTCTCCTAGACCATCATCTGCTGTCAAGTGCTATTCACTTTGCATCAGTTACACAATGCAATGACCACATTTGGGTCTTTCTGTTATTGTTTTGTGCTTTGTTTTCTGAGAATGAGCAGATGATATACAGGTCATGCCCTGGAGAAATCTCTTCCTGAAGCCTTTGCCACCAAACCAGAGAAAACAAATCATATGCAGGAAAATTAGAGGCCAGACTGCTTTGGGACAGGCAAGATCAAGGTCAGTTCTTTCTATTGGAACAGAAAGTCA